ACACACACACAAACACACACACACACACGCACACACACACACACACAACAAAATAAAAACCGAAAAAAATGAAAATGCATAAACGATCCAGCCACGTGACTGCGACATGTGACGCCCCTCCCTCCCCTAACCCTCCCCACGTGAAGCACCTTCCGTCAATCGGTGATTGAGGTCATTATTACCTTACCTTGTCCTCGTAAATCATCCTGATGCTCCTTATCTTTCATCTTCCTCCTCATCTTCATCTGTCAGCGTTGTCATGGTCAGGTGCTCTCTCTCTCTCTCTCTCTCTCTCTCTCTCTCTCTCTCTCTCTCTCTCTCTCTCTCTCTCTCTCTCGCTCGCTCGTGCCTTCGTGCACACCAAAAAGGAAGCATGACTGTCCAGACTGTTTCATCGGAGGTTGAACCCCGACAGTCTGCCCAAGATGCATCTGTGTGCGTGTGTGTGACGTCATGTTCGCTTGACACAACTCCATAAAAGAAGGTTCGACCATGAAAAAACAAAAACAAAAACCATGAGCTGCGCTACCGCTAGCGCCCCGTTGCCGCCAGTCCGGCAAGGCCCGGGCGACCGGCTCGACTAGTGCCCGGGGGAGGTCCTTCGGGCACAAGGCCTGTACGCGCGCCCGGCAGACGCGCGTGGTGTTTTGCCACGTGGCGCCTGCTGTTGGCGATGCAGGTGTCCCGCGATGCGCTGACAGGGGTGACGCCAGCCGTGGAACTGTTGACACGTTGACGATTAGTAGCGGCAGCTTCAATATTATCAGTAATGATTGGGGAGGGCATGGAGACTTCGCTTCATGGGGGGCTGTGGGGAACCCCTCTTGACCTGCAGGTTGAGGAGGAAGTGTCCGCGCTGTCTATTGTGATAAGTTACAAACAGCAGCTCGAGGAGATGTACGTGGCACTGTGTCAAGCGCATGGCGATCTGCCATATGATGTTCTCCTGGAGGGAGAGGAGACCTGCAATGGGTGGGAAGAGGAGATTTATGAACAGATCTCTCTTCGACAGCGGGATGCGATTGACAGAGCGCGGGCGATTGCCGTCTTCTACGATTGCGTGGAGATGCTGCAGCAGGTCAAAGACATGTTTGCTGGCCTTCTAGCAAGGAGACACGCGAGTGGTCCGCCGGATACCGAGACATGGACAGCATTGACAGCAGCAACACCATCGACACCATCATCAACAACATCAATTTCATCAACCACGGCAATAACAGCACTGTCATCGACCATAACAGTGGTTAACACGGTTATATAACAGTGGTTATATATGACATATATGACGATAACATCACTATCTATAGCTGCGACACCATTGAGCAGGCTCATGATGCATGGGGGTTGGAAGAGGGGCCGCCCCCTTGCGTGGGACTCGCGGATCGGCTACGGTCGAATGCGCTGATGTGGCGCGATTGCAAGGGCTTCGAGGAGGGGCGGGGTCCGTGTGGCGAGATTGACGAGCGATTTCACGATAACGACGACACCGTGGACGGCCTTTGCGATTGTAGCTCCACTGCTGATGATGCAGCTACGAAAGATGATGGTCTTGCAGACAAAAACAACAACAACAATCACATAGCATGCAATAACAAAACCTGCAACAATAACAAACATGGCGATGGTATTCGTTGGGAAGTGTGATTCGCCTGTATCTCTCCCCCCTCTTCTTTTCCTATCCCGTTTTCTCTCCTGCATGCCGTGGGGAACGATCGGGGTCAGGGGCGAGAGGGTTGGGTGATTGGGATGTGTGGTGAACAGGAAGAGGGCGCGCGGATGTGGGGGGAGGGATGGTGGCGGGAAGGGGTAGGATAGGCAGCACTTTAATTGCATCGATGCTCCCCGTCTAATGTGTGCTCTCAGACTGTGAGGATCGTGGGGGGAGGCTGTTGTAGGTAATCTGATATGACTTTGTTCCTTGATCTGAGTATCTGTTTTACTTGTGATGTGGTGACAGATCTTGGCTTATCCACTGATTACAAGGATCGTGGGGGGATATGGCGATTCCGTAATAAACTGCTTTTGCCACGGGGCGACGCAGAAAGGTGCAGAAAGGCGCAGTACGGATAGGTATCAGGATTGCCTAAGTGAAATTGTTGCGTTCGCCCACGTGGCGCACTGGTGCCTCCTTGTTTGAGTGGATTTGAGGATCTTAAAGATTGGGGGGGATACTGGGGCAGGTGATGTTATAGTACAATTTGTAATCTCCCACTCCGAATACCTCTCCCCGTTATGGCGTTGCAAACAGTGAATAGCAGATGATAAGGGTTTCGGAGTGGGTATCTGATTTTCAT